CTCAATTCTATTGAAGATCTCGGTTCTGCTCGAAAATAAATGGAATTCCCGTAAGCACCTTTAACTTTCCTTGAAATTATCTGGACTTCTGTGAAGTGAAATATTTTTGAAGTATTCATAAATTCTCTGAAGGTCTCTGTACTTCCTTAAATTCTCGGGACATCTTGAGGGTTCTTGATTTTTTTTTTTCAGCACATCATGGAACTATCCTGAATGTTTCTAAATTTACGGATGTAGATCTTTAAACTGCCCCAAAAGTCTGGGCTAAAGTTACGGAAACTGCTCTTAAGATCAAAACTTCCCCAAAGAGCCAGAGGCGAAACAGACTCAGACTGAAAGCCTCCCTAATAAAGAAAACTTAACTTAACTTAATTCCTCAAAGATCTCTAGATCTAGTTTTTTTAGGTGGTTAGAACTTCTTAAAAATAAACACAATACCCCTCAAGTTCTCTGAAATTCTAGGCACTTCATAAAAGTTCATGAAATTTTTGGCTGCTAAAGGAACCGCTTTGAGGTTCTTAAAGCTTCCAGTAAGTTCCCCATATTTTCAGCGTGTTAACTTCCCTTATGTTCCCGCAGTTTGTTTATGGAGCTTCATCAAAATTCTCAGCATTTCCTTTCATTCCTCAGAACTTCTCCAAAGTTCCTACAATTTTTGTGAAGTTAATGGGACTGCAATGAAGATCTCTAATATTCCATCCAAAGTCTTCAACTAGGTCGAAAAAATATCTTCAAATGTCCTCATCGCCACTTGTGAACTTGGTTGGACTCAGAGGTAGCGCATTTCAAGCTTATTGCATATCGCATATTAGCTTATTGCGTGCTCTCAACTTAGTGTTCTACATACCCTTCCACAGTCATTAATTGAGAGCTTTCGATGCCTGTACCATTTTTGCATTAGTATAATTCGAGAATAAGCATGCAAAAGGGCGCATACGCGATGGTCGATTCTCTTCATCTATTTTCTCTTTGCATTTCTACAGCTAAGCGAAACAATTTTCTAGAATTTGTTCAATGCAGAGTTGTCACAGATTGTATTGGCTATCAAAAACAACAGCAAACGCACCGAGAAACGTTAAATCTAGCGAGTTATTAACAAAAGAGAGAATCGATCGCTACGCTCTTATGCATGCTCACTGTCGTATTGTGTGGCAAGTACAATCATACTCTATGCCCAGGGAAGTCGAGACATTTCCCAACCCGAAAAATTTCTAGACCGGATCGGGAATCGAACTAAGGGAGTCTCAGCTCCCTCTCTGATTTCCTCTTTAAATATTTTTTTTTTAGAATGTTAAAAACTTCACAAGTTCCTGAATTTTGTCTAAGGGGCTACACAGATAAAAATTCTGAATTTTAATTGTGATGTAAACATTTGTAACGATAACTTTAAAACCCAATAGAATTTAATAAATATTTCGCCTTCAATTATACTTCTTGGACTGCACACGGCTTAAGCTACTTGATACCCTACCAACACTGTACCATCCCAAACTGCTCGAATTGATCTTCCAGTGTGCAGGCGATCGAGAGAAAAGTTTTTATTTAATTTTCCCACGACGCAATAAAATGAATTTTCCTCACTCAAACGCTATTACGTTTTGTCTTTGGGTATGATTGGTTAATCCAAGGTCATGGGACTTGAAAAGATTAACCCAGAACACTTTCAAATCACTTTTGTTGGAGTGCTTAGATTGTTCGGTTCGATTTTTATAAAGCGAAATAGTTTTTGAAATAGTGAAGAAATTTTGAATTGGATTAGTGGTGAATTTTTGCCCTAGCATAAAGTGAGTTATTGAAAAAGCATTTGAACTAAAAATGTATTAAATTATGTATTATAGTTTACTTTAGTGAATTGCGTAGGCTAAACCTAAAACAAATAGTGAACACTGGTAGAATTTAGAACCAGGTAAGAAAAATATGTCGATAATTTTTCTATTGTACAATTTGTAAGACCCTTGAACGTGTTAATAGGTCCCCCATTAACGTGGGAGTTTGGTTGGGATTGAAAATTCTCTATTTCGAGAGCGAATAAGGCTAATAGCGGTCGTCGACAGAGCAAGTGGTAGGCTATACCCGTGAAAACTACACGTGGTCCTCGAGACCGAACAAAACGTTATCCTACACTCCCCTTATACGGAGACGCATTTACTCCGTCCGCTTCGTAACACCACCCACCGCGTCCTTCGGAAAATTTTAGTACCAAACCGCCGGCAGATTCTAACCTCTCGTCGTCAAGCTCGAGAGAAAATGAGTCATCAGGCGTTACGAACGTGAGGGTTCACGCTTAGCCTGGACCTAAGAGGAAGAGGTGACAATTGGCTTCTTCCTCTTTTATATCTATATCTATCTCTATATTTATCTATCTCTATCCCTATCTTACGCTCATGAAATCGACCAATCAGGAGCTGGTTCACGTTTGACAGAAAAGTGGTCCATTTTCGCCCCCGTATTTTCACCTCTTCTCTTAGGCCTGGGCAACCATCCGTAGTTCGTCTCGTCGTAGAGGAGCCACTCCGACAGCACCAGCCTGGCCGATGAATGGTAAAGGGTTATGAAAACAGGCCAGTGATCACTGCGTATAGGATATCTTTGAGTTCATTGATTAGGTTAGACTGGTTCCAATAAACCCCGGGTTAGAATTTCGAATGATCCATTAAATTAAATTCAAACGTTCGAAATCGCGTTTCGAATAAATGTTCCGAATGAACACTTTGGTTGTGATTTTGAGTTAGATTATTGGTTGTATGACGTTTCGCTTGACTCACCCGCAGATTATGAGTTTCAGGCCGGGCATCCCTGAAATAATTTCCGCTTTCGACCTCCTGTAAGGAGTGGCGCATAAGTCGTTTGCAGGATTTCCGGTATTTCGGGGACTCAGCAATGTAACGCTTGGTCGTTCGTTCGTTGAGAAAAGTTACGCGTTACACATTCATTCACGTAGACTTGTATTTCATTTCACGCAACCGAACAACTTGCAAACAATGTTGTTTACAAAGATGGGCTTTGTATACAATATTTGCTACATTGCATGAAATGTCAGAACTTTACATGATATATAATGTAAACGTATATGATATGTGATGCTCCATTTATGTGCTTCATACTGAACAGAAACTTGCACAACTTTTTCGAACTATGTACGTAAGTTTAAGGACAGCCCTTAAGATAGCAGCTAGTTATTCCCGTCCTGAATTTATTTGCTTTGTAGATGTCTTAGATCGCTAAAGCTTTTTGGAAGTTTATGACAAATGAGCTAACTTGTGTGCGAATTTTGGACAGAACAAAAATTTGGAATAACAATTAATCAAAAAATTTCAACATAAATGAATTGATTTCTTGAAGAAATCTCTAAGGCTAATATGAATCTTCAAGAATATGGAACGAACAAGAAGTTAAAAAAAGAAATCAGATGTCACAGGTTCTGAACTTGAAGGAAGGTTCCTGGACTTGAAGAACCTTCATTTATGACTTTATCGATAGTATTTCGATGATAATTTCTTAAGAATTTTCAGACTTACGTGCGACTTATTCAGTGAATTCTATGGATAAATCCAAAGGAATTGTGAGGAGTATTCAAATTTAAATAAGGAGAGCTTCAACAAAAATATAAGGATTGTTTCCAAGATATTTCCAAAAATGTCTTGGTTCCTGATGAAACCTAAGAATAATTCTAAGCAATTTGCTAGGAGAGCATCAAATGTATACTAAGTGGAATTCTAGGGTAGTTCTGAGGGGAATCCTTAAATAACCCTAGAATTCTAGTAACATTCCAAAGGAATTCGGTAAATAAATACCAAGGAATTTCGAAGCATGATTTTACGTGAATATTAGAAAAATGAAAAACATTTAGGTAATGGTTAGAAACATTGAATGGCAACTATGAGGATAATTTTGGGAGTATTTTATGGAAAACTTCAAAAGAATTCGGAAAACAACTCCAAGGAAATTTTTACTTTATAGAATTAAATATAGATAAATATGATTCTGAGGATTACTCGATGGACATGTTGAGGATAAATCCAGAAGAACTTTAAGAAATATTCCAAAGCAATTAAAACGAGTGCTCCTAATGAGTATTCTGAAAAGTATTCAAAAGTAGGATATTTCAAGGAAGTGTTATAAAAGAATTAAAAGGAGTGGTTAAATATAATTCTTTGGATTATTTTAACGCGATTATTAAAATAATTGCAATGGATCTTAAAAAGAGAATCCCATTAGAATTTCGAGGCACATTTCCAAGAATTATTGAGCAGAAATCAAAGGTAATCCAAGAACCAATTCCATTGAAGTTTTGCGGGAATACGAAGAAAACACTGAGGAAAATTACAAGAGGAATCCAAAGAGTTTATAGAAAATCACTAGAATTAAAAAATATATATAAATAAACTAGATAAAGTACCGAAGGTAGAGAAGAATATCAGAACAAATTATCAAAATCCTAGAAACAGAAATAAAATCAAGATGCAGATTTGAGAAAATTTTCAAGATTTCGAGACTTTGAGAACTTTGTGATAAGAAGTTATTTTAATATCAAGACTCGGTGACTCTAATAATTGCAATGCCGGACTTTTTTAATTTCTATTTAACTTAAAATAAATCAAATGTCTGAAACAGGAAATTCCACAAATTTTCCAAAATCTTGGACTCAAACCCCCGGTATATACATACATTAAGTTTCAAATATCTTCATATGTCTTCTGTCTCTTGGTACCATTCTAAATGGTAACATTTTGTATTTTTATTTTGTCTGGGAACGTAGGGCACCATTTGTTCAGCAAACTTCCAATTTAAATTGCGAACGGTAGCACCGATAACGATTGTGGGTGACGAGTGAAGTCAGCTGCAGTAATTGGAACGGAAATGTGGTAGCGAACGAGAGAGCTGAGTGCTGTGAGTGCGACTATGGTGAGGAGAATAGAGAGTTCGGAGGAGTCGGTGTGTAGCGTTGCCTCTAGGCAGACGTGCGGTGGAATAATGGTAGAGGCGGTAGTGGACGTGAGATGCGAAGCACGAGGTTCGCGTCACTGCAGGAAGATGAAGATTGTTGGTTCCATGACAGAACGACGCCATCAGACAGCGACTATCAGATCATCATCTGCAAGCCACCGCCATCAGGCCACCGTTATCAGGCCACTGTTATCAGGTCACCGCCATCCGGACACCGCCATCCGGGCACCGCCATCCGGCACCGCCATCCGGCACCGCCATCCGGGCACCGCCATCCGGGCACCGCCATCCGGGCACCGCCATCCGGGCACCGCCATCCGGGCACCGCCATCCGGGCACCGCCATCCGGGCACCGCCATCCGGGCACCGCCATCCGGGCACCGCCATCCGGGCACCGCCATCCGGGCACCGCCATCCGGGCACCGCCATCCGAGCACCGCCATCTGGCCACTGCTACCAGGCCACTGCTACCAGGCCACCGCCATCCGGTCACCGCCATCCGGTCACCGCCATCCGGGCACCGCCATCCGGGCACCGCCATCCGGGCCGCCATCCGGGCACCGCCATCCGGGCACCGCCATCCGGGCACCGCCATCCGGGCACCGCCATCCGGGCACCGCCATCCGGGCACCGCCATCCGGGCACCGCCATCCGGGCACCGCCATCCGGGCACCGCCATCCGGGCACCGCCATCCGGGCACCGCCATCCGGGCACCGCCATCCGGCCACCGCCATAGGGGTGCTTCCCTAAGGCTGCTACCATACGGTATTGGGCTGCCGCCATCTGGTCACCAACATCCGGCTGTCACTAACTGGCCGCCACCATCTAGACAATGCCAAGCTCATCATATTGGTTCGCATAGCAAATAAATGTAAGGTAAATTCTACTTTTATAGTTGGATAGGAATTCCGCACAATTCGAAAGCTTCCCCACGCAAAAACGCCCTGGGACCCGGAACCAAAAGAGGCCTTGAGTGCCCACCCCAGGAGCTGCCGTTGGCTTAAGACCATCAGCTTGGGGCTTAGGCTGGTTCCCTTCTGGGACTAAGCGGTTCCGGGGGCATAAGTGTTTCACTCTCTAGCCAGAAATTTACACACTACCACCATCTGTTGAGCGTACAGCCCATGATAGTTTACTCAACAGATGGCGGTAGTGTTTTGTTGATGATTTACATTGAAAAATATTCAATACGTTATGTCTGTTTGTCTGTTGTGATGATAAAGTAGCAAATTGAAAACATGACTTATTTACGAGCTGTAGGCAAGGTAAGTGTTTAAAGTTCTGTAATTGTAAGAGGTGTAATTTTTCTGAACGCGCATCAAAATTCCTGAAGGTTGATGGATTCAATTTGTGATCAAGGTATAGTTTTGGGCTTGAGTGAATGAGACTGTCAGAAGTTTGAGCAATTTTAGTAAAATGCATCTCATGAGAGTGCCCTTTTTCAAACTGCTATAGATTTATGAATAATGAACCAAATGAGCTGAGATTCTGCTACTTGTTATGAAAGTAAATACCATTTATTTGGCTTCAATTTTACTAAAATACGTTCAGTATGAAAATAGTTACAAGAGTTTTACTTTCGCTGATAAAAAAATTACCGTTTTTTGCCACTAATAATGCTCTCCAATTATCATTTTACATTTGATGTGGCTTAGAAAAATAAGGACTATTTTCTTAAGGTTCGAATAGCTTAAAAAAATTGTATGGTGACAATTTAGTAGTTTAAAAAGATGAATTGGTTGAATGTTTAGTTCCTCTCCCAAGTAACATTGCTAGCTTTATAGAGGTTTTATGGCATTCTACATGTTCAAATTATGGTCTACAGAACCCTCATAAAACCAAAATTGTTACTTGGGCTATGGGTACTATTAAATACTAATATTTAAGTTAAATTTTAAAGTAGTTAACGGGTGTCCCACATCAAATTGCATCACGGAAAAAACGCTGTAGAAAATTACCTAGTTGACCGATCCTTTTCAAACTTTTAGGCAATAAAATATAAACCATTAGTAAGCCTCATCTGGGTATACAGTTTCCGGGCCCGTGACTTTACCACCGTATTTTGCCGTTCATCACGATTTGGAGCCTTCTGCACTTTGTACGTATGTAGTCCCTTCCGGTCCTTGGCTCTCTGAACGAAATACTTGGACAGATTAAACTTAAACGCTTTCATGACACGCTTGTGATCCTGATCACTAATAGAACATCGATTCTGGCCGCATTTCTCCTTCCGTTCGATGCTCAGAGTTTCGTAGCAACGTTTAATCACACGACTCACCGTTGACTGCACGATTCCGAGTTGTTTTCCAATGTCCCAATGAGAGAGTTGAGGATTTTCCAGGTGCCTGTGCAAAATCAATTCGCGATGTTGCTTTTCGGGTGACGCCATTTTCTCCAACTTTCGAAAAACTGACAGCGATAAAAATACAGTGTAAACAATACACTCTAAACTACTTCTACCCAATTTTTCAAGAGAAGAGTAAATAGTTTTTTTTCTTTATTAACGAGACTTTCAGAAGAGTAAATAGTATTTGTAATGCTAACTTTAGAAAATAATTATAGCATTGCAGCTGCTTTGTAAGAAAGCTGCTGTCAATAGTTGTTTATTCGTTCCAAAGGTGACACCGGGGTGGCCACTGAATTTAAGAAATACAATTCCTGGGTGGTTAATATATTTTTCCCGGTCTCATATAAACGGCTAAACATGTTTAAAAAGCCACTAGGCCGAACGCTACTGAGCCGAATGAATCATCACACCGAATAGAAACAAAATCTATGTTCAAGTGATTAACATTTCATATCTCAAATTAAGAATTTTTAAAGAGGCTATGCCAGCTTTTTTTTACATTATTGAACTTTTCAAGATTCCAGACTTTGAAAAATGTAATTGAAATGTTAATTTTAAAGATTTCTTATTTAAAAAATCTTTACTCTTGGATTTAGACAGCATTTTAGGAATCTTTAAAATTTGTCGAAAATCCGTTATAATTGCATATCTTTTGACTTTTCAAGATTCCAGACTTTGAAAAATGTAATTGAAATGTTAATTTTAAAGATTTCTTATTTAAAAAAAATCTTTACTCTTGGATTTAGACAGCATTTTAGGAATCTTTAAAATTTGACAAAAGTCCGTTATAATTGCATATCTTTTGACAGACAGTAGTATTTCGTCTACTACTTGCAGACTTCATCAGTGCCAAGTGGTGTTGAGTACTTGGCACTGACGAAGTCTGCAAGTAGTAGATGAAATACGCGCATCTGTCAAAAGATAAGCAATTATAACGGAATTAAAAGGAAATAAACCAACACACTCAAAGCTCTTCATACAGCATTTTAGGATTTTTACACTTCGAAGTATTGTCTGGAGAATTTTGATGCGAATGTCAAATGAGGTTTGAGAAATAATTCTAAAGGGATTCTGAGGAAAATTCCAAAGGCAATTGACTAGAAGTTCCAGGTAAGTTTGAGAAATATTTCAAGAAAATGTTGAATAGAACTTAAGGTGAAATCCAAGTAGTTCTGAATTCAGAGAATTCTAAGGCTAATGAAAAAGAAATAACAGCATTTAAAGGGAGTTCGGAGGAGAATTCTAAGTGAATTAAACCTACGAAAAACTAAATGATGATATGACTAAAATCTTGACACCAAGCCAAAAATGATCACCCGCGGCTGAAAATATTTTAAATTGTAATCAAGCAATAGATCAATCAAAGCTTTCAAAGACAAGAGTTCTGAGGCGAGCTTCAACATCAATAATAATTCCACACGAATGTTATTTAGAATATAGCTAAATATTTGCATAATTTCAAGAAAGCTTCAAGGTGATTCCTAAAAGAATTAGTAAAATTTTGAAGTGGATTTACGAGAGGATTTCAAATAGTTGCATTCACCGGAAATTTTGAGAATACAGTGAACTCTCTACAACTCGATATTGAAGAGAACATCGAGTTATAGAATAACAATCCCATACAAAATCGTTATTGCAGTAGCCATGAAATTAATTTTTACTATGATTATATAGTGTATATATAGTTATCGATATAGTGGACATCGAGTTGTGGAGAGTTGACTATATTTCCAAAGATATTCCGAATAGCGCACTGAGAAATTCTGCAGAAACTTCCAAGGGAATTCGAAGGAGAGTTTCAAGTGAATTCCAAGAAAATTCCAAGAGATTCAGTTAAGGGAATTTTGAGAAGAATATCAAAGGTATAAAGGTAAGGGAAGTTCCCTTACGATTCTGAAGTAAATTCCAAGGAAATTCTGGGAGAATACTTTGTGAACTCAAAAGGGATAAACAAAACGGTTTCTGAAGAATATTCCAAATGAATTACACAGATAATTATGAAGGAATTTGGTAGATGCTGTGACATGAAAAGTTTTCAAGGTTCTAATAACAACAAACATATTCAAAATGCCGGACATAGGACATCGGCATTGCTAACTGGACTTCTCAAAAGTGTGAAATCGCTAAATAAAAGTGCGCTGTTATGTTGTATAGTCTTGATGTCTTCTGCTCACTTTTTCGTTACGACCCAAGAAAAAAGTGCGACAAAGACACCGAAACGATTTAACGTAAAAGCGAACTTTCCAATTATTAGCATTTCCGCCCTGTTTGTGAATCTTATAATCTGCGCAACGGGCTATAATATGACCGTTAGATAATGATATAGTTCTGAAATACAAAAAATAACATTGTTATTAAAAAATGATCGTTACTTACATCTCTAACATTCTAAGAACTTCAAGATGCAAGATTTGATTTCAAAATAGTGTTTTAAAAGCTGATTTCAAATACAATTTGTATGAATATAGCTGAATAACCTTTGAAGAATCTGAAAGTCTCGTTAATAAAGAAAACTAAACTAAACTAAACTTTGAAGAATCTTAAAACATAAGATTTTTTGATAGATTTAAATTGATACTTCTTGATTATTAAAATCCAACAGATCAGTAAACCCGATTAATGCTCTTATTGAACTAACAAACAACATCCTTTGGATGTAAAAATTACCGAAATTTCCGGTTTTCAGAAGTTTTAAAATGGAATTTTGGTATTGCAGAATGGCACGGTATCACCGGTCCAAAACGGTTACGGTAAAACTGGTTAAACAGCCCTAATTATGATACCATACATAATTTTGGCGTTCTAGTGTCAATGTACAATTTTTTTTAATTCAGGAATTAGACCAAAATTGTGATTGACGTTAGTCAAACACTTGCCACACACTTGTGTCTACTTATAAAGCGAAAAAACTGCAGCATTTTCTGTCCAAAACTGTCTCAAACATAAGTTAACTTGATTTAAAGGACGTGGTATTCCGAATTTAACATTTATAAAATATTTTCTGCGAAATATTTACCAGCCTTGTTTTTGTTTATTACAAAGTGTACGTACATGTCTTTTAGACTCATATCTTTAGAGTATTAATGAACACTTGATGCTACATCTGATTCCATACCAAACCATACCTGAAAAAGTGGAAAAGGAAAAAAAAAATAGGATTTGAAGAGTATATTTTAATTCAATATAAGATCATTTTAAAGTATAAAAGCGGAATTCAGGCTTATTGGTTACTAATAAGCATAAATTCTCCATGAATGATGTTTAAAAGCACTAAACAGTATGAGTCTCAAACTTTACGGATAATTGTGAAGCTTTGGATTTGCAATTTTCCAGGAGAAAATATGACTTCAGGCAGCAGGTAAATATTTTTATTTTGGTTTAGTGCTAAA